TCAGACAAACAGATCTGTGTTTTTGCGCTGCATCAGTGGTATAAAAACAACTAAAAAACCTAAGTGTCTACTTATCCTCTTTACCTTTTCTTCGCTTTGCACTCGCTCTTCTGCTCCTTCCCCCACTTTTAAACAAAATTAGCAACAAAGCAAAACAAACAAGAACTGGAAATGCGAAATGAATCCAGGCGTGCTTATTTAGTGTTAGATATTTCAGTCGATAGGCCTGACATAGCTGCGCTCGATGTGTGGAAGTATCACTAACATGGGTTGGCCGGGCAGTCTAGTCTCTGTATTCTAAGAATCTAGATTCGGATGCTTTAGCCTTCGGTTGTTAGCCAAATTTACTTACAAATTCCGTTGAGATCGGTCTACTTCTTTGTCATTTCATTTGACTGCCTTTAACTGGATATAGAGCGCCTACAGAAACGTTTTCTCAGGTGTTATCTGAAGGCATCGCATTTTGTAAGACACTCTTACACTGTTATAGAGGGTTTCTTTTTTTTTTTTTTTCATCCTTCCCGAATGCATCAATTTCAGTACCAGAATAGAACATGGCAGTATTGCAGGATTTGCATGTCGCTTCAAGTTTTGCCGAATCTACGACGAATAGAAGACCAAACGAAGAAGTGCATATGAAGCTCATCTGATACTAATGGCAGTTGTGATTTGTGTGTGATATGTATATAATTTGTTGATTGGAGAGCAATGGTAAAATTCAGCTCCGTTTCCGGTCATTCCAGAATCAGCACAGACAGTGGATACGCTTTAAAATAACCACTACCGACACAAGTATTCCTGCAGTAAAACTATCACATCCTTAGTTCCATTATTTGCGTATAAATCGGAGGCAGCTGCTGGTCTGCTGTAGCAGTGATAGGAGGGCCCTGGTAAGCACCTCCTTATTAAAAAATCCAAATTTTTTTATCTTGAAATTAGAAATGGCAAATTATTAAGGTGCAAATTAAATTAAAGTTATTATTAGAATTATTAGAATTAAAATTATTGAGGTACTCCAAAAAACTTCCACGACGGTCCTCTTCTTAAACTCCAACAACTTTTTCCCCCAGAAGTTCCATCACTCTTTCAGGTAAATTTTACTCAGCTGTATGAGTGCTTTCTTGTGCTTGTAGGACCAGTGATACATTTCTATCAAAAAAAGCGTTACAGCGAGCATGACCTAGAAGCACATGAACCGGAAGGGGGAGCCTCACAGCAGTTGAAACCTATACCAATAAGTAGCATTAAGGATGGAAGCCGCTATCTGGCTGGAGATATATTAAAACGTTTGATGCAAAGCCGGCCGACGTAGCGAAGTGGGGAGAAGCAGTGTTGTAGTGCAACCAGTCAACGATTCCGCTTCGCCGCTAGGACAAGCAATCTCTCTACGATTCATTCATTCGTTTTGACAGCAAACTGGCACGGGGATAAGCCAGGGAGTCAAACCTGGTCGTTAGCTTGCTCGTAAGCAGATATCGGTTTCTGAGCAATCAGTGCATACGTGATGTTATTTTTTCTGCTAAAAGCTGAGTGCTTGGTTTCTGGGTTTTGTAAGCTGACCTCTCATACTTATTGCAAAAAAAAAAAAAATCCTCACATCTTTCCACATTAAACACAGCAAAATTTTTTCTTTATAAAAGTATGAAGTGATGGTTACGATACTACAAAAAGATGTGTTCACTAGCCCAGAAGCTAAGTGCCAAACTCAAAGGTATTTCGCGGACCGCATCTAGGCAGTGCTGTCCTATGCGCCAGTAACCCAA